GTCTCAAAAGCAACCAGCTTTAGAGACCTGAAAGAAAATATGGTACCTAATGGATATATAAAAATTTCCGTTAGGTTGCTTGCAATACTTATGTACGTATGTACAACCGCTTACTGCAACGTTTCCGGTATATAGTTGTTTCCTTATCGATAAAAATTCATTTACTTAGATACATGTATGCAGTTAGTTGCATATTTCGAGGTTAGCAGTCAATTAAAAGGGTATTTGATTTGCCATCTTTCTAAATGTAAATGCATTTTTAAGATATTACATACTTTTTTCATTTGACTGAGAATTTCAGTCATTCTGAAAAGAAAAATTTCAAAAAAGATAATCTCTTGTGCCTTGTTTTGTTTGTTTTAAAGGATTTTAAAGAAACTATGACGTTCAAGATATTTTATTACATGAATCGTTCAAATGGTAATTTTAGATGTAAAAACCGCGGAGTGCTATTAAATTAGAGGGTGGAAATTGGAGATAGGGGTGAAAACGCACCCCTTTCAGTTTTTTAATTGTAGCTCGAAAATGACACAAAATTTCGCTATAATTCATAGGAAACATTATTTAGAGAATTGAATTTCCCATCGAAATGGCTTATTTAAAAAAATTAAAAGGAAAATTTTACGCAAAAAATCGTTAAACAATTTGAAAAAAAAGCAAAAAATTCGATCTTTTTATTTTTTTTACTTTTTTACCTCTAGCTTTTTTTTTGTAAAGATAGGTATAGGCATTGCTTCATAAAAAAAAGTAGATAAAATTTCCTTCAAAATAAGAGGTTGTAAAATATTTTTGGATGAAAATTGACTGATATATGACCGCTCAAACAGCCAATTTTCGATTTTCGTCGCGCTTACTCTTATACGTTTTAATTCTCATTTTTTGAAAAAAATGAAGGAAATAAGACGTTTAAGGATTTTCATCACATACGACTTGTTCGAAGGGTCATTAAAAATGAAAAAACCGCGGGGTACTATTAAATTAGAGGGTTGAAATTGAAGGGGTGAAAATGCACTTTTGTAGTTTTTTAAATATAGCTCGAAAACGAAGCAAAATTTCGGTATAGTTGATAGGAAAAATTTTGTAGAGAATTGAATTTACCAGCGAAATACCTTATTTAAAATATTTAAAGAAAAATTTTATGCAAAAAATCACTAATAAACTATTTTAAAAAAGCAGAAAATAAGATTTTTTAATTTTTTTCTATTTTTTTTTTTAGTAGAAGGAGGCAAAGAAAATTGCTGTACAAAAAAAACTAGATGAGATTCCCTTCAAAATGATGCGTTTTCAAAAGTTTTTGGACTAATATTGACGAAGTTATAACCGGTCAAACTTAAATATTTTTTAGATTTTCGTCGTATTTAACATAATGATTATAATTCTTATTATTTTTACAACAAATATATGTCTTCAAGTACACCGTCTTCTGCAACTTCGACTTCTTGAATAGTGTCACTCATTTTTGTACAGCAACTTTCTTTGCCTACTTCTACTAACAAAAAAAAATGGAGACTGTCTAGACTCTAATCTTTAGACATGAGATATATAATATTTAATCTGTTATTGAATCATATATTATGAATGTTCAGAAAGATTTGTCGATAGGCCTTTGGAAAATACTGAAAATTGAAATAATTGCCAAAGACAATTAAAATGATATACACACGGCAAATAAATAAGAACAGTAGCAAAAATTACAACAAACAAAATATTACAGACAATACTACCTACTTTGGTTACTATTATTTTTAATTGCTGCTGTTTATAATAAATAATAATTTTAATTATTATAGGCACTTTATGGGTTTATTAATTATTTGGGAGAAGTGCCACACCAAATTAGAGAAGTTAAAAAGTAACAGTGAGCTTTTCCAGTGCTTAAAAAAAGGACAGTTTTGACCTAGGTACCTACACAGAAATATTATCTTTTTCATCCTGCAGAAACGACACCTCTTTCGAACAACAAGAATTTTTACTTAAAAAATCGTTAGAACTGAGGAGGAAAAGTCCGCAAATTTGCATCGCTTGTGCTAAGGCAATAGATTTTCGGAACAGATTCAATAACGATTCAAATTTGCGACGTCAATAAAAAAAAATTAATAACTTTAATAATTAACGTAATTTCGTGTTCGTTATTACAGCTGTTTTATGAATTATAGCGACAAAGTGATCATTTACTAGTTATTAAATCAATAAATAATATTTAAAATGTTTAATTTGAGTAAGATGCAATATCGCGTTGTTTTCGATCGCCTCTTATCTTTCTCACTTCCTCAGTTTCTCGCTGAGGATGGTGTATCAAAATTGAAGGGGTAGAGTAATCAAAAGCAAACAAGAGCAGTTTTGGAATGTCTAGAATTTCCTGAGCTGCACGCGCAACCACCAGAACCGATATCGACGTCTTCCCGGGCAAATTTTGGTTGCCGTTTTTTCTCGTCAAACATTATGAAACATCAACGTACACTTCCAAGATAAGTGTTATCTACCCGAAGATATGTTGAGTGTGCCGCAGGTAACGTGTAAAAAGCGTGAGGATTTCTGGTGAACAAATAAGGCTTTAAATGCGCTTGTGGATATATTTTGGACCCGTTATCGGCTTGAATAAATAATAACATCTGTCTGTTTACTTTCGATAACACTGTTTGATATTGCTACAGTTGAACGTAAATTACACTTCGTTGGTTTTTATATCGACGGCAACCGATGAAACCGTTATTTTTTGGATTTCGAGGGAGATGTCCTTGAACCCTCGAAACCGCGATGCATTTTGAATCGTTGCTCCTGCGCGCTTAAGCTTGCTTGCCTGCCGCTTGCCTATCCCGATAGGCCAAGCAAATTAAATTTTTACTCGAAAAAAGTCCTATCCGCGAGATTATTGTAAAATTGTCTAAAGGAACATAATACAAGACACCTCTCATCTCGTGTGTTAAAAAATTTTATTAGCTAACTTTTCTATTTAAACAAATAAGTGAGGAAACAGTTTTTTCACTTTGCAGGGAAAACCATCAATTTTAGCGAAAAGTGATACTCACAGACAGCTTATAGGGAGTAAAATTATCTACAAAATGAGACTTGTTGAATTAAAATCGGTTAATAAACAAAAAAGTTATTGCAAAAAAACAAGAAAAGTGCCCATTTTTTAATTTGTTTATAACTATCGCATTTATTGTTAAAATCTTATAAAACCTATGACAAGTTGAGGGTTTTGTCATACTTCAAAAGTATGTCAAAAGTGGGCGCTGTAGGTGCAATAGTTTTCGCACAATTCAATTTGTTTATAATGGAGGCTCCAAAAGTTATGAACTTTAAGCCTCTGTACAGAAGTTCAAGATAACGCGCGCTATAAAATTTTGCAATATCTCGGCTTCTATTCATCGTAGAAACTTATTTTTTAAAAAAACAGGGGTAGCTCGACGAAAAAATAACAATGGGCATATTTACGAATTCGTAGAATAGCCCTGAACCCCAGGAAAAATGCATCTTTTATACTGAATTTTTTTTAATTTACAAAATTACGCACAGTTTTTTAATGCACAATTTGATAATGTTAATGTCAAAAAAACGGTCATATATTTTAATAGGTCGCATAATTACGTCTTTAAGATTACAATGACGCTTTCAGAATCATGTTTGGTTGAAAATTAACGCCTGTACAGAGGCATAGAGTTCATAACTTTTGGAGCCTCCGTTATAAACAAATTGAATTGTGCGAAAATTATTGCACCTACAGCGCCCATTTTTGGCACACTTTTAAAGTATGACAAAACCCTCAACTTGTCATAGGTTTTATAAAATTTTAGCAATAAATGCGATAGTTATAAACGAGTCACTTTTCGCTAAAATTTCGAGTTTCTCTTTTATTTTTGCTAATTTTCCTGGTGTACGAATGAGGGTGTAAAAGAAAATGAAAGAAAAAAACTTACAGCTGCCGTACTGGGTATTTTTGTTATATAATAATTTTTGTGTTCAGCGGCGTGTGTAATATTCTAATATATTTGTCCAACAAAAGCCTATGGCCACATCTCCACTACTTTTACCTCTCAAGTTGTACATAAATGTAAATATAAGTGTTCAAGTTTGATTTATTACCATTTTGTCCTAACTTAAAAAAAGCAAAGAAGGTAAGGGGATAGAATGTTATATAAATACCCCAAATAGGTACCCCATCATCATTGATTCGTATAAAATCGTATATTTGAAGGAGAGGATGAAAATTTCAGAATAATAACTTTGCTTGGGTGCATTTAATTTCAATTTGTACACCTGGCATATGGAAACAGTTACACCCCTATCAATCTATAAACATTTATCAAAAGCTTATCTTTGTTTAACTTTCATGTCTGCAGTAAAATCAATAGATTGGATGTGATCTGAATGTTCAATAAGGCGTATGATAAAAACTATTACATTTGATACAGCTGTACGAATAAATTTGTTTTTTTATATATTTTTTTCCACAGATCTTAAAATATTCAACACACTACATTATTTTTTGATTTTCCATGATTTTAAGATGCTGAAACGTTAGAGTTTACACATTAAAACTGTTTCTATTGTAACTGTAAAAATTAAAAATTTTTTTTTATTCTACGTTAATGAGACAGGCATATATATATTTGGAGAAATTAACTTAAAGTCCTTAGATTTTGAAAAAGTAACGCTATCAACTGCCATTTTAGAGCAAACTCTCAAACTATGATTATGATGCCATCTACCATTTAGTAGTGGCAGCAACGTACATAACTTGTCACCTATTTATTTTATTAGCGCTTTTAGGAAACATTGTATATTAGAGATACGTTGAGATAAAAAATTTGACACTACTTTGAATTAATATTAATATATTTTACAAAGAGCAAAAACGAATATATTTATGTTTTTAATATCAAAATTTATACCTAATTAACTAACTGCTAATATTTATCTATTTTTATAATTTCAAAAAGTTGAGCTACTGTCAAGTTCATGCATAACTACATATAAATAATTAATAAATAACTTACATGTTTTAGTTGCTCATTAAGCCTTCTGAGATCTTCAAGCTAAAAAAAATAAACAGTTATTAAAAATCACTGCTAGAAAAAGAAGCACAAGTATTACCTTGATACTAAACACTAAATACAAAATTGTTTAAAAGTAAATAATCAAATTAAGTCTAAATCGGAAAGTGTTATTTTATTATTGTCCTATATACTTGAAATTTTTCTAGGTAAGTATGTAAGAATTGCTCGATATTTGTAAATGGTATTTATGAATTGAAACCCAACACATATTCATGGGCAATGTCAAAAGTCAAGGTTAGGCTATTATTACCTGAGTAATTGCAATACTATGATGAATGTAAATCACTGTTTAAGTAATACTTTTAATGGTTTTTTTAAATATATTAAACTATTTTTTTATTGTTGCTTTGCTTATACTCACTTCAGCTTCTTGTTGGACACACCGCTTTCTTAATTCCTCATAGCCTGTAGTGTTTGCTTCTGTTCCTACAAACGTTAGAATTAAATACATTGAATAAAAAATAGATGTTTGTCATGTTAGGTTATATATTTTAGAATATAAAAACAAATAAAAAACAAACTTATGTTAAGATTTCATAAAGGTTAGAATTACCTTCATCTTCAGCCAAAACATTATTAGCGAAATTGGTGATTTGTCCCTTGAGATTATTTAGGCTATCATTAAAGTTAAGCCAAGACGACATCTTTCTTTAATAATGTAGGAAAAAATTATAATTCGTAATTAGAATTTTTTGTTTATTTACAAAAGTTAAATACCATATTCTGCCAACACAACTTTGATCATTGACAGATCAGAAAAACATATGACGTTTGACACCTGACAGAAATGACAGATGGCAGATGGACAGAACAAGGAATCAATCCATGACAGAACAATAAACCATACAAAACACAGCCATAGAAGATAAAGACCAAAAATATAATTTAGTGATCATATGGGTAATTTGATAGGTTCGTCTGTTATGAGTTCAATAGTCCAACTGTATGTTGACTCTATATTTATAAAAAAAGTCTTTGGGCCCATCCTGATTGGAAATAAATTGATTGAAAGTCAATTTATAGTATGTGCCCTGAAGTTCTTCACAATAAGCCAAAGGAATACGACTCTTCTACTAGACAGTAAACTTGACCCAGTAGGTAATTTCTTAGGTGTTTTGTGGTCGGTATAGTAGATTCATTCAAAATAATTCGAGATTCGAGATAATTGAGGTTAGAACATGTGTTAGTGGTTAATAGCGTGCACGATGGCCTTACAGTTTAGTAAGGATGGCAAATATTTCGCGTACATTTCAACAGATGGGAAATTAAAAATTTGGGACACGATTTCTAACAACTTTGAACAAGAATTTACCCCGGATTATCATCTAACGTCTCCTTGTACTTGTTTACATTTTTTACCCTCTAATTCAGACTCAAACACAGTAAGTACATAAATATAACATACTATTATAATTATTGTACCTATTTCTCAGTAAATATATCAAATTTTAATACATGTTTTGTGAATGTTTGTATAACTTATTCATTTGCACTTTTTAGGGCGCTTCTCCCAAAAAGAAAAAACGGAGGGAATCAAATTCAAACTTGTGCCCAAATATAGTTCTGGGATCAACGTCTGGACTTCTACTTGTATACTCGATAGCAAATGCTAACTTAGAGTGTACAATTAACAGTCAGACAAGTCAGTCAATAAATTGTTTGTCCACCATTGATAGTAGTATAGTGTATTCTGGTGCCGATCAAGATGTATTTATATGGAATTTACAGAAACAAAAACTATTGAAGTATGTGAAAACATATATATTTCAATTTTGTCGATATTCTTTAACTGACTAACTTTACTGTAATCTTTTTAGAAAGTGGAAAGGAGGAAATGAGAAAATATCATCAGTTTTAGCTATTCCTGATAGCAATCAGATTTTAACGGCATCAAAAAATGTGAAATTATGGGATGTAGATACAAAAGAGGTACTTCAAGTTTTTACCGGGCACAGTTCGGATGTTATTTTCTTACAATATATTAATCCGAGAGAATCAGAGGGTGCATATTTTATTAGTGGATCGAAGGTAATGAGTTTTAGCATTAGTAATTATCCTGAATAATAATTAATAAGTAATAATTTTACTTTGCAGGGGGATAGACTTTTAAGCTGTTGGAGTTTAAGTAGTAATGGGAGCAGTAAGAATGCCGTGGCAAGTTTTCTAATGGAAGACATCGTCCAAAATGTTTCTGTGAATATTGCGAGAAACGGATCCACCAATTTAGCTGCTACCGTCAGAAGTGGTGTTGTACACATTTATCGGCATACACTTAATGGGTAATTTAAAAAACAGTAGTTATACAAATTCATGATTTTCATCGTCAAATGGTTTTGTTGTATAAAATTAATTTAACCGTTTACCGATTTTCCAGGAAATGCAATAAACCATTCAAACCTAAAACAACACTTCAGGTTGTTTCAGACACGGGTCAAAGTAACGAGGTGGTAACGCCTATCAGAATCATTGGGGCAATTTATAGAGACGACGAAACTTTATGCTTAGGATACGGTACTGAAATACTTCTAACCTTTGAAAACGTGGTAAGTTAAAATAAGTTTTGTTGTTTCGGTATAAATCATTGGAATATTTGCTTTTTTATTCTAAACGTGAATGTCCTACGTCAGTCTTTATGTGCAGATTTTTAGTATTTTGAAAACCGAGTGATTCTCTGTCAAAATTTCAGGAAATAAGTGCCTATAAGAAAGTCCAATGCCTTGTGAGGAAAGACCCGAGGACAGTTTCGATATCTAAAGAAGATCAGACGCTAAAAACTCGAACGCCCGTCGTTAACGACAGCGTTCAGTACTTAACTCCACTAACATCTTCGGTTGCAACGACGAAAAGGAAAAGCGAAGGTACGATGGAAATTCCCATGGAGAAGAGACTGGAAAACCTAACGCTGAACAAATCGGACCTCGTTAAGGGAGTGCCTAAAGTCGATAACTTGTCGCAGTTGTTGATCCAAGGGTTGCACAGTAAAGATCAAGACATACTCAGAACCGTTTTATACAGAAAAGACGACAGCGTGATTAGAAACACCGTAAAAAGGCTGCCGGTTTCTGCCCTTATCCCGTTAATCCAAGAACTGACACAGCTCTTGAAAGGAAAAACTTTAGCGTGAGTACGACGAAAAATCTGATATTCGGTAAATCTTTTACGGGTTAATTTTTAGAAGTCAGATCGGTTCTTTGTGGTTGAAGCACGTTCTGCAAGTCCACGGCAGCATCCTTATGTCCAATCCGGAATTGCAAGAGCTGTTGGCTCCTATGATCGGAAGTATAGAGAATCGGCTCACGCTCCTCACGCCGCTGCACAGGTTAAAAGGAAGATTAGGCTTGTTAATATCCCAAGTTAGCAGTAGCAGTGATAGCGCCGTGCAAGGCTTCAATGAAAACGAAGAGCCCTTGCTGATATTCGACGATAAAGGTGAGCGCAACGTGATAATATTTACGGAAATTTTAAATTTTCTTATTCCTAAATTTGCTTTTTGAATTGCAGATTTTTAGCAGAAACTAGTTAGTACTTTATCTTGGTTTGTAGGCTTTGGTGCCAGATCTCAACGGTTGAGCAATTTTTCGGACTGGTCGCCTCGTTGTGGGTTTTTAAGCGTTTTGAGAGACATATCAAAAAACAAAATGACACGATTTTGTCATCGGTTCGTTTGATCTACAAGTTGTAGTTCAACTGAACTGAATGGTTTCAGTGAAACGTCTTGCCTTAAGAATTCAGATATTTCTCCCAAAATGTCTAGATATAACCTATAAAGCAAATGTCATCAGTATCTTAAATGTCATTGGTAGCCAATGCCTACTGACACAAAACTTTAATTTGTACCTACTGGTACGTAGTGAACTACTAATAGCCTACTTACACAAAACATTAATTTGTACCTACTGTACATATGAACTACTAATAGGTTACAAGCCCGGAAATTGCTCAATCTAGTTAATACTCTATATTCGTATAAAACTTTCACTTATTTATTTTTTTCAAACCTGTTTTATTATTTTCCAGATTCGAGTGAATCGGACGAAGAAGATTTGAATAAATAAATATGAGAACACTGTCTTTTTTCTTTTCTGTAAGGGGAATACACCTTTCGCTATTAGTTTTTAAGTCAAATTCAAAATTTCTATGAATTTATATCTGGTTTGTGGCATTTACCGTACTATTTTAAAAAAAAGTTATATAAATATTGCCAGTTCAATTTTTATCTTTTATCGCATAAATATCATGCCGTTTTTTTTATATTTGTTTTATTTTTGGTATTAATCATTGTGGGCGAAGATAATATACTTTAGGAAACGCGTTTTTCTTGAGAGTTAAATTCTGAAAACTCGAATGCATAAATAATGAACGAATAAAAAAAAATTGTTATTGAAGTATTCGGTGATGCTGTGGTAATTTTTTTTCTCGAAAAATCTGTATTCGAATATTTTTACAAAGTAGGGACCGAGAGCTTTGCCGAAGAAAACTATCCTTTTTACATCTCGTTCCTCGGAACACAGCGACGATCTGAACAACGTCAAAATTGGACTGTTCTCGCTGAGAACAGAAAAAGAGGAATGTTCTTGTCGAGAACAAAATAGTTTTCCAAGTGTTCTTCCTGAGAACAAAAAGAACCAAGATGCCGAGTTTCCTCCAGTCTCAGTTTGGTTTTGTAGTGGGAACAATTCATTTTTAGCCTCTTCTTTCATTGCATTCTTTGTGAGGACGTTCTTTAATTTTCTTCGTGCAACGAACAGCTGTTGTTACAAACGGGCACAAAACGTTCATAACGACAATGATGTTCGTAAATTTGATTCGCAAAATGGCTCGATTTGTTAATATCGAAAAAAAAAGTTTCAATAAATATTCCGTCCGTTGTAAATCAAAGACAAGAATACTAGGAAGTTTTTTAGAAAAACGCATATATCGATGAGCTATTATCCTAAAATAAAAACGTAGGTCACTTCAAACAACATTTATTAAAAACCAGTGGGATTTCCCACCGATTAAACATTTTTTACTACTGCATTATTTTCAATTGTTCTTAATTTGTGCTCATTTCCAATACGAGGAATTTCTTAAGATCTAAGGTAATACTGATATAGGCCGATGTCAAATTTTAACGTTTTAAAAAATCGTTTATCGAAACATTCGAAAAGAGTTTTGCAAAACCTTTTGCTGCTTATACACACGGCAAAGTTAAATAGACAGACATTAAATATACAAATAGCTGTTTGAAAAAATATATACACTTAAGTACGAAAATCACAACGGTTGAGATCTACGAGTATAATCGTGTAGAAACGATAAGAGTAAAATATTGCAGTTGTTTAGTCGCTACGTCGCTACATCCTAGTTGCTAATAGTACTTATTTGATCTAAACGCAATTCTCTCATTTCCGTACAACTGTCCGAGTTTAATAAAGGTACGCTATCTGAAGAACCCCGCCGTGAAACGTCGGTCGATGTAGTAGTCGTGCTCTTCTCCTGCTGCTCCTTTTGAACATTATCGACAGCTTCAGGGGTGTGGGTAATGTCAGGCAGGAAAATTTTCCGTCTTATGAAAATGTACCAATTCTAAAAAACATAAAAAATAAACCGAAATTTCATTACTTCGATTAATTCTTACCAAGACGCAGGAAGTAATCGCGTATATTATCGCCATCCCGTTGCTATTATTCACGTTTTCGAGAGCCAAGACAACGACAAACCAAACGATATCGTAGCCGGTTTGTATCATGCACAAAAATTTAAGACAAGATTTGGACTCGCGCAGACTGAGTACTTCCTCGTCGGTCGTCTCGTCTTTTTTATCTTTCAACATTTCCAACTCGTTACGAAAGGCGTTCAGGGATTCCGCGGAACTGTTGAACTCCAGTTTCGAAAGCTCCATGTTGATTTTTCGAATGCCGCTCAGGGAATATATGGTGGTTAGGATTATTAAGATAGAGACGGGTAGCATATAATTCAAGATCATACCTTTCTGGACCGATATGAAGCAGAAGCGTTTCGACTCGTAGCTGTTCGGCATTATGAAATACGAAATCTAAAAAAGAATTTGTAAATCTGTAATCAGTTGTGTTTTTAATGAATTGTTACCAAAGTGATGACTGTAGGTAAGTCGTAAGCGACGATATTTAAATATTTGATTTTTAAGTGTTTGAGTTTCACCAGTCCTTTATCGGAGAACTGTCTGTAGACGTAGAAGCAGTATAGGAACAGCCAAAACGCCGTCATGAGATGGAGGAAATGTAGTATCAAAGATATCACCAAACATTTTGTACTACTTTTAGTTGCCTAGAACAGAATTAACAAAATTCGGTTGAATCTATTCGACTAGATACACTTTCATTATCGTTCAGTAGTTTTACTCACATAAACTCCTAGCATAAAGATTAAGTTTGATATGCAGAAAGACCCCATTATTTGGAAAAACATGTATTTCATGGTTTTGTCCCCTTTTTGATTTTTCTTGAGTAGCACACAAAATATCGTAAGCAGCTGTGCTGCACAACTTAACACCGAACCGATAATAATAATTTCTGGCCCATAATTTCCTAAATTCCTATTATGAGATCCGTAATAGACGTACATGATGTTATCGATGAAATTGTGATCTTTTAAGTCCGAGTCCGCCAGAGAATCATCGGGCAGTTCAATATTGGGCAAAATGTCTATCGTATATTTGGAATCCAAACTTTCTGGATTTGGTAGTATTAGTGAGTCGGACTTAAACGCTACATCATTAGAATTGTTTGCGAGATCGTAATCATAGTTTAAATAGTAATCTTCTGGTGGTGGAGGTAGTTTTTTAATATTTGAATTATTTCTAATATCCTTACCTAGAAACACCATAATTTGGAGGCACTTAATAAAGCTATGTTCTATTTACTTACATAAAATCAAGCCATTTATACAGTACAATGCAAATAAACTTAATGCAATACTCATTTTCAATCAAACTGAGTAAAAAAATACAGATTTTTCTTAAATGCATCCATTGGGATGCTGCACAGTTGATCAGCGAAATCAGAAGAATCACCCGCAAAACAGTCGGAAAAAATGTATTGGTCTACTGGAATGAAGGAGATTACAGTGGACCATATAAAAATTCACGATTTTGTCCAAGGTTATAAGCCATTATTCGTTTGGACGACTGTAAGACACATGCGCAATTATTTAATCAATAGAGCTAATATTTTAAAATTACCCAACCCAGCAAAAGATTAGTCAGTTCTCACTTTTGGTCAACTTGCCTGAATTTTTGATATAAGTTAGTTTGAGGTATACATATAGATGAAAGTAATTAAAAAAAAAAAAGAAGGGTTTGTCAAGATAACTCAAAAGGGGTAAGGGGTGGAAAAAGTTTCTTATAAAAGTTGTAGAGCATAAAATTCTACATAAAAATGGTGTATGACTTTTTCTTCTACAATTAAAATTGACAGAGTTACGGGGACTAGAAGTTAAGAGATGATTTCAGAAATTTAAAAAATCAAGCAGAAAAATGATAGGATGTTATAATTTTTTTCTATCTACTTTAAAAAATGTAAACTATCTTTCCAGAGAAATTTTTAATAAAAAAGATAAATAATTTCACAATTTTTTAACTTTCTCGTAAAAAATTTCGAAAGCAACTTTCCATTATTTTAAACAATCAATCGAATGGCGTAGAAAAAAATTGTTTTAGTGTTAAATCATAAGAATTAACGATTAAAAAATTGAAATTGTTATAACTTTTTTTTATTAAAAATTAAAAACATCTATTTCTCTGAAAAGATAGTTTACATCTTTTAGAGTAAATTGAAAAAAAAAAAATTTTAATTCATTCATTTTTCGGTTTGATTTTTTAAATTTCTGGAATCATCCCTTAACTTCTAGTCTCCCAAACTGTGTTAATTTGAATTGTACAAGAAAAAGTCAATAAACCATTTTTATGTAGAATTTTATACTCCACAACTTTTATAAGAAACTTTTTTTCCTAGCTCTTACCCCTTTTCAGATATTTTGTAAAACCTTACTACTTATATACCTCAAACTAACTTATATCAAAAATTCAGGCAAGTTGACCAAAATTGCGATTTAAAAGCCTATTTAGTTGGACTATAACTCAAAATTTCTGTTAGTTTTTTAATATACAGTATGTCTGCAATATTTTACCAATGTCTACACCTGAAAATCCAGAAAATTTTCTCAAAGGTGTAAGCAGGACCTGAAGGCTATTTTTTCCAAATATCTCCAAAACTATTCAAAAATTTTGTCAGGAGCATCTCAAATTGTAAGGAAGAGTTAAATTATGCTCTAACTCGTTTGTTTGCTTCACCAGTTTCATTAAAATTGATTTAACAATTAGATGCCACGAAAATGTAAACTGTAAACCAATTAAATTGACAGTGTGAAAATTTACTGAATTTATTTAACAAAAAAAAAATGAAAAACAATATATCAAAAACGTAGAAAACAAAATAGAGCGATTAATATTTTTTCTTGGATAGGAGTTACAGTTACTGACCAAAATATCCAGTGGCCTCGAATGTCCGAGGTTTCCAGTGAGAACGGCCCCCAGTTTCCCCACCACTGGTAAACATATACAGGGTATTTGTAAATAAGTGCGAAATATTTTAGGGGGTGTTTGCCGAAGTTATTTTGTGAAAAAAGGGTCATATAAACGTAGGTCGAAATATGCTTTGTTTCCGTTAAATTTTAATTTTTTATTTATTTTTATTAATTATTTCAAAGAGTTTTAAATATATTGAATCGAAATTTGAAACACGCTTTGGAGGGATAAACGGGCATTTTTTGGGGTGATCCGAACATTTCTACTTGCACCAGTGGCGTTCGTGCGAGAATGCCACAACTTTTTTTAATAAAAATAAATGGTACGCCACTGACTTTTCCCGTTTTGATATTTTTTAATAAAATTGGTCTCTTCAATTTTTTTCGTAGGATGCACCGTTTTTGAGAGAAAAAAATAAATAAGTCTCTTTTAATAAAGCGTGATCAAAGTAAAATTTCAACATTGAAAATAAAAAGTTGATATGAATGTGGGTAAAAAATTCGTCGATTTCGAGATACAGGATGTTCAAAACTCTGAAATAATTAATAAAAATAAATAATTAAATTTTAAACACGCTGTATCTCGGAATGAAGCATATTTCGACCTAAGTTTATATGAACTTTTTTCCACAAAATAACTTATTTCGCACTTATTTACAAACATCCTGTATACCCAAATAAAGTGGATTTATACTTTAAAATCTAAATAAATTATAAAGTTTCCTCATTCCACATCAAACGTCTTTAAAGATGCTTTAGAAAGGGTGAATTTGTTTTTAAATTCCAACACCCTGTATATAAAAAACTATATATTGATCTGGGGACTCGTATTTTTATAATCATTTTGACTTAAAAACACTCAACGAATCTCTCCTTAAATTTCATTGAAATTTAATTAAAAAAAAATATTTGGATGCAAAGGTATTCAGGAAAATATAACTCTTACTTACCTGAAAATGGTATCGCTAATGGTACAACACGAAAAAATAATTACCAGTTTGTACAAAGTTTTAATTGCAAAAAAGGATGGATCGGAGGAAAATAATCGATATGGGGGAAAATACGTTTTATTTATTTTTCGAATAATATGTTTACACGTCACATTTACTTAGATTTCCATAATTTTTAACTAAAATCTAAACTAATTTAATACCATTTCAAAATCAAGTTCAGCAGTAATATTTCCCCCGGTTTATATATAAATATAAATCGCGCAACACGTCTTAAATGTTGCTCTCAAATGAATTAATAAATTTAACGGATATATCAACTCAGGCTTCCACTCAAACATAATGAAATATTTTAAAATAGATCGTCAAGATTCCACGGCGCAAACCAAAATACACGAATATCAAAAATAAAATAAACTCTATCGTAAGAGACTGCTTAAAACTCCTTTTGAATGCTATTAAATTTTCATACATAGTGAATTAAAAAAGAACTCTATTTACATACATGTAAAATATTACCGCAAAATATTTTCATGATTTTATTTTTCAATTTTTTTCATTTTTTTTTTTTAGTTTTTTTGTTTACTTAACCACAAGTACATGTCTGAATAACTATACATCGAAAATAAATAAATAGTTATTAATTGATCAATAAACTAACATTTTTTTTGTTATATTTAATTATTTACACTTAAATATTTGAAGATAACCACCCACACGATCACGCACACAGAAGCTTAAATAACATTGCACGGTTTGCGATAATATTTTACTCCCAAAGTGTTTTGGGTATCGTTCATACGTACGTGACGGACAGTTGTCTGTGCTGGCTCATCAACGACCTAAAAAGAAACTAGAAAAACTGACAGTTACACTCCCGTGCGTCGTCTTGACAGTAAAAAAACACTCAGGCCCTTTTTACCATCAAATTTCGACATGTATTTATTACTGTCGTCACAAATTTCGACGGAAGATTTATTTTCCCGTTCGCAAATATAAATAAATTAATCAATAATAAATACTGTCGTGTGGAAATAAGATAATGTCAAAGTGATGCTGATTCTTACGTTTTGAAAGTGGATGAAAGTCGGACGCCCCGAACAGAAATTTCACGTGCGGTAACGTCAGGTACAGACGGCTTCCTGTGGAGCCGTCGCACTTGCGGGAAGAGGTAAAATGTTTGTACTAAGGCTGGACTCGGATTCCGCCACGCTTAGGTTGCTGTTGGAATCGTTCACGGAGTTGTTAGAACTGTCATCAAACTGAAACAATATTTTCTCTATAAGAACTTTCTTCCCATTTTTTTTCGTCTACAGACCGTCTTTCAAACAAGTCAAGCTCCTACAGCATTTCTATTGCCCCAAAAGCAGGAAGAGATAGATATAAGACAATAAATGTTTATATGCGAAACATAAAAATATGGCCACGCTGGCAGAGAGTGATCTGCAAATTTGTGAGTACCATGAAAACACAACCGATCTCTAACTGATGAAATTGCAGGAAACATGCCCTGGCCAGCTAGGATCATTCGTCAGCCAAACCCACCAGACATATACTGGTTTCTTCATCAGCCACACATCCATTGGAGTTTGTAAAACCACTCCAACATTTATTGAAACATATATTTACAATTTTACCTGGATCTAATAATTAACGTCACAATATTCTTGAGGAGTAAACGTTGCCTTCGTTACACTTTCGCATCAAAATCTGTCAAACACTTTCATACTTCCGAGGCGTAACATTACGAATTAGGATACAAAAAAGAATTAGAATTAGCTCAGACTGACCAAAAAGTTACAGACGACACAGAAAAAAACCTATAATATATACTTACACTACTCATTTGCGGAGTAATTTCCTCGGACAACCTCGTCTTCTTGACGGGCGCGTCGTTGTCGGATCCAGCCGCGTCGCCGGACAGCCTCTTCCTGTTCTCCGTCGTGCCGTTACTTTGAGACTTGGTAATACTCGACTTTCTCTCTCTCTTGATGAGACCGGGGGACAGGTACTGCGACAACTGTTTCCGTTTAACGTACCTTGCCTCCAGCCTCATACCTTCCTTAAGCATCTGAATGGTGGTCGCGTGCTTGTTCACGGTCTTCGTAAATATCTGTATGTCCCTGGTCAGGTCGACGTTTAAGTTCTCCGTCTTGGCGAATTCTAAACCTATGAACCACATGGAGCAGTGCGCGTTCGGCTCCTTCTGCGACTCCAGCATCGCGAAACTCTCCGGGTTTATGTGGGCCAGCGTTATGTATTGATTCCTCTCCAAGTTACCTGGAAGAATTGTTCGGATGGACAAAAGGCACAGATTTGACGTAACGTTTGTGAAAATCGACCGAAAGAATCCATTCACCCACCAGAAAGTACATTCGGTGTCTGAATTATTTAAACTATTATGCACGAACGACGACCGAGTGAATGGATTCAGCGAATTATCGTGCGGTTTTTTCCCTACCTATGAGCAAACGAACTTTACTCTCCACCAGCCCGCACCACTCCAGGTGGTCGTCGGACGTCTCGGCCATCACTAACAAAACTATAAAGTGCTTATATTTCAGGAAAAAGGGCGGGGGTTCGAAAAGCTTATCCCACGACGACTTTCCCAACATAATATCGTCCGTGATAAGCAATCCAAGTTTGAACTCTTCCATTATTATCGTTCTGGTCGACAGCGACACATTGAAAGTCGAATTTTGTTGCGGATAGGCTGGGGTTATTATCGGCATTAAGTGATATCGGTCCTGGATGTTGACCTGGATAAGGGAAAAACAATGTTACACGAATACGGCATTAGCGGGAACAGATACGGTCAGAATTCTTACCGAATGTAACCAACATACACCCTGTAATGAACAAAAGGATATTTAAAATCGGGCGTGTCATTTAACTACTTCGTGAGATAAACGAATGCTTAATTTTTACCTTTCTTGGAATAGTTAATAGAGATAATTACTTAACGAACAAAAATCGTCTATGTTTTTTCATATACACTGTCAAGCAAGTACACTCGATTACCAGGAAAGCATTTTTGTACAAAACTCGTAAAATGTCAGATGTGACGGTAAAATATTGCCACACGAGTTTAATGGGAACGCCCCATATAGACAAGCGGTTAAGCTTTTATATTTCAAACAAAATACGATTCAGATTGGAAACCTTTATCTTGCGTCGAGTGTACACTTAAGGAAAGAAAATTAAGATTTTATGTATGGGTGGTTTTATTAATTTAAAAGACTTATACGAACCCTAGGATCCCAAACGGCAAATCCCAGATTAACGTTCGAAGGCTGCTTCAACAGCACTGGCTGCGGCCACTGCCACTTTGAAAAAATTAGGAAAAATTTGTGGACTAACGTCGCCGATGTTGCGTTCGGATACAACTGGCAAGTTCTTGCTACTAGCATCGCCCAAGACACTCCACCCAAATATCCCAACGCATTGCTGTAGATCCCATGACCTAGGAAGAAAATTATACAATGACAACGCATGAAAAACTATATTAGATTTATTTTGATTGTTCAATTTTTTTTAATTACCCCGGATAAGGATATATTTTTTTTCATTTTCATGCACAGAACAGATAGAAGTGACCACTTACGTTTCGCCCATAATTTAATAGCTCTTAGTGCCAATCTAAAATTTTCTATATTTGGAACTAGTCGCAGAATTTCATCTGTAACCCGACACCCATTTAAGCTCCGAACACACTTTTGATTAAGGTTTTTTAATAACATATCGTCACGCAAATCCATGGAATCGGGAATCTCTTTTAGAGAAAGTCTGGCAAACAACATGTCTATTTCTATTCCACCAAAATTCATTTTAATAACCGGTACGAACGCCTCCTCTACAGCCTAGAAATTTTTTTTACTTTGAATGGAAATAATTGGTACTATATTGCTAATTTAGAACAACATTTCCTATACTTTCTTTAAATGATGACATGACTACATAATAATTACATAATTACCCTCAGGTCTGTTACTTCAGGGTGCTGATTAAGTAGTTCATAGAACGAAGAAAAAAAATCTGATCTATCAATATGTCGAGGAGCCACACATAAAGCATCAATATCAGCTCCTTTATTGTGTACCTGAAAGATATTACGAAAATCCAAAAATTATTTATTACAAACACTTCTACACGTAATTCAGTACTAGCAAAAAAAAAACTTATTATTGCATTATTATTTTAAAACTTCGAATTTAATATTCAAAATAGTAATTGGTTATTTTTCAATGTAGTATTCAACTATTTCCCTTTATTTACACAACACAATTTCCTGATAAATCAAAAAACAAATTAGTCTGTAAAAACATATTGAAGCTTTCTTATTACTTACCCCTAACCTATAACTACCAAATGTATACACTTTCCCACCGACATGTTCCGCAACACTTTCAGGCATATTGTGTCTTACAGATATATCTTTTATCCACTGTTTAACTAAATTATACAATTTCCCTAAAATTAACATGCGATGATTGAGTTCTTGTTCACTTTCAAACACATCGAATGGTTTCAACGATTCCTCCAATTCTTTAGTCTTTAGAAGATCTGCCGGCTTTGGTGGAGCTACAGAAATGGCAGATGTCATTCCAAGGGTCATCAATCTGTCATCATTTCTTTGTGCCTGATTTTCTTTATTGTTTTGTGCATTTTGTACTGCTTGAGATTGCCACATATTTATAAATTTTTATTCGTAACAACCTTGAGCTTCTTTTTATCCAAAGGTATATTGGTTTTATAAACAATGCAGGCTTCCACTTAATCGAACTATTCAATATCTCATTTTAGTAGGATAACGTTGTGTGGTGTTTTTTCCGAAAATTATAATACGTAATTTACAAATATCTGCCGTCTCACTTGAAAGAAAAAACAATGAAACATACCTAGAGAACACCAAACTGCATATTCAGGTACTTTTACTTACGTTATTTACAATTGATCGATTTCATGAATAAACAATTATGTTTTAGTTACATTATAATAAAAAGCATGTTATTAAAAATAACGATAACGTGTTAAAGACGAATACTTTGACATTGTTAAAATTTCACAAAATGACTGACAGTAGTAACAAACATGTTCAAATATCACCACCCTAGTAAGCAAAAAATCACTGTAAATTTTTAAAAATATCCGGTTCGTCTTATAAGTTTCAAGTGTATACATATTAGCAAAAACAATTATGTTTGTGATTTTAAAACACAGTTTAAACTGTCCTTGATATCTACATTATAATTAATTATATTGTAAATATCAAGGACTACCGGAAATGAGATAACATTATTTTTTTTATTTATTGCCAGGCTACAGGCTAATTAAAATAATTCTGTTAAAAATTTAAGTATAGAAATGTAGATGGCCTACCTCTGAAGTCTTAACTTGAAGTAAGAAAAGTGATAAACAATTTAAATAAAGGAAATACTTCCGAACTAATATTAGGTATTATGCAAAATATTGCACTGAGAAAAATCAGTGACACCACAACACAATTTTAAACAAATAGTATATAAGATCCAAGCAGAAAATAAATAAACAATTTTATTGCTTTTTTCCATGTATTCTCACGCTATTTGTTTCCAATGGTCTTTTCAAAAGAACCGCCGAACTGTTAACGTGCCGTGAGCTACTTTCGATTTGACAAAAAATGCAGCACAGGGAAATCTGAGTTCTATTACATGCAAGAGTTACTCTGAGTTACTAAGGCTACAATATGAACCGAAAGGGCGAAAGAAGAAGAAGGTTCAGTGATTAGTGGATTTAGGTTATGTTGTTATAAAATTTTGTTTTAATTTAAAAAAACGTCCTCATATCAACATTACATATATTTTTTAATTTTGTAACATTTTACATTTGAAAACAAATTATGTTCTCAATATTATACATTATTATTTATTCATAAAGTACTTGTATTTAATTAAATATAATGGAAGACGAATGGGATATTGAATGTTCCGATGAGGAATACAAAGATTGTAAAGGACCATGGGAACCTAGCCCTGAAGAAATAGATAAATTATATACAATGTTAGAAAACGGTGAAACACAAGAACTTCATTGGAAGTGCCCCGGCTATCGTTCACCTTCTCCCGAGGTTTCGGAAGAGCCCGAACAGGAAAAGGACAGAAAAGAGTAAGATTGAATTGATACATTAGAGGTTTGCTTCATTATTTATTTTTCAGACCTGAAGAACAATCAGATTTTGATTTCATGGATGAAATGACCTCGCCAAAATTAAAAATTCGCAACAAAGGCGAAGAAACCTTAAAAGGCAGTGCTAAGAAGAAAACCGCTTCTTTGGATGGCGTTATAAATAATATGAGAAGGCACAATCTCTTACCTTCAAAGGCTAAATAACAGAAAATGTACGAAAAGTTTGGTACGTTTGCATAAGGAACTTTAGTTATGGTGTCCCAAATTTTAAGAGTATGTAAATGTTTTTCACCCGTCAGTAAAGACAGTTGTGCATTAAAATTGCTATCAAAAGGTTATATGTAATTTTTTTTGTCTATTCAAATGTGTAATATTTAATAATTTACATCTGGTGCTTGTTTATTAAAAAAATATATTACATAGGTCAAAAAAATAAATATTTGTTTTATAGAATCTTTATTGCACCGATAGTTTTATAAAATGAAAATTAAACTACCCAGATCAGAAATATAAAATTGCTATTTCTAAATTAATGTGATGTAATCTTTATAATATCAGATATGTAGCGAGAATGTCTTTCAAGATGAAATAAACATTATTAGTGTCCTGGCAAAAAATAAAATATATATCTACTAACGTTTTAATTCGAAATAAAAGATAACTTGACGATACTGTCCTGAAGTAGCAGGTTTACGGCTTTTTCCACTTTTTTTTTTTGTAATAAATACACGTCTACCTTTAATCAAGAGTATATTTTGAATAAATAGTCCACAGTAACCCGAAGATCTCCCAAAATAAACAGAATTATCATAATACATAGTAAGGCCCTATTTCTTCAGTTTAAGATCGCAATAGTACAATATATATCCGAAACTACACAAGTTCAGAGTGAAACTTAAATATCTTAACCTCATCGGTTCAAGCACAAGTACAAGTAGATAGTTACATCAGTTCACGATCTATTATTTTTAAGCGTAATTTATAATACTCGAATTTCTAGTTTTCATAAAAACTCTATCTTTGAGGAGCAGGCTTTGGTTTAGGCATTTTAGCAAGCAACGCCTGGATTTCCTTCTTCTCGTCGTACGTCTTCCACAATTCAAATAAGTTAATAATGTACCTAGCTATCTCTTGGATTTTTTCAATATCTACATTCAATTCGGCGAACCACGCCTTGTGGTCCTTTTGCAAAATTACGCAAGCTATTTGTAAACATCCTATGGCGATTTGATACGGAGGATACAGCAAGGAAACGTCGGTCCGCAAGGAATCGTTGACAATCCTCCATGCCAACGTTAACAATTGCTCTTCGTGACCTATGTCTTGGACTAGTTGTAAGAGGGGTCTATAAGGCTGGTATACGATTAAACAGCAGTCGAGGTTCTCTAAGAGGTAAAATTCACATTCCAATATGTGATTAGTCCGGTAAGGAAATTCTTGAGTATAGGCGTATCCAAATTTATTTTTTACTAAAAAAAAAAGAATACATAGCATTGCAACTATCAATTTAACATAATCAAGTGAACTTACTGACAGTCTGGCAGGTGGTTATTAACCTGGAATTTGATATAACTCCAAATTCTTCCACTTTCGATGCTAGAAATAGGCATGTTGGTGCTAACAGTAATGGGTCTATGCATTTTAAAGAATTTCTAGCATAGAACCTTTTAAAATATACCGTGGCAGTCGCTATCACTTGTTGCCTAAGTTTCAGTTGCTCTCCTAACGTTTGTATAACTAAAAATATGAAAACAATTACTAAGATTAGTTAACATACAATCTAAATGTCATACCACTAGAGAAAAATATAAAAATCTTTTGATATTCATCCTCCGGTAAAATTGCTAGATCATGTTGTCGTTCCCTTATCAAGTCCTGTTTATCCAAAAGCCATTGTTGACTGCAAAGCAAAAGATATAAGCTGTTTCCTGTACCTACTCAACATATTGTCAATATTAGTTGCACTTTTATTACTTGCATACCAACAGGAAAAACATATTGAATGCCAAGACTTAAAAACTTATACTACTGATAAAGTTTCAATATATATTTGATACATATCATTCATCTTTTCATGATGTATCTCACAAAAATATATTGATATACAAAGTAGACATAGGGAACTTAAGGATTAAACTGTTTCAATATTTTTTTAATTAGTAACCTACTGGTGCGAACTTTGCCAAAAATTTCCGGACATTAGTATAGTTGTGGTTTTAGTTTTTAGTGTGAATGATATAGTTTAAATATTCTGGACGATCATTCAGTGAATTTAACCTAAACAAATGTCTGTATCGTCCCGGTAAAATGAAAATGTATTTGTTGCGTTTTAACTACTGGAAGCAGCAAGTTGAACTACATGTCTTTTGTTTTGCAAATATAAAACGGTTAAGGAATTAAAAAAGTAATGTATGAAGTTCTTATTAACTCGTGTCTATATTTATTTTAACTCATTTTAGCACTCACTCATAAAACAGTAAAATTTTATTAGAAAAACAACGTGCGCCACTGAATTAAATCTATTAGCCGTATTCTCTCAAACTAATAAATTATTAAGTTAAGTTTAAAATTACTTACTAGTGAGAACTTTGCCAGAAATTTCCTGCCATTAATAAAATACCGATTTATAATTTCTGCTTTTCTTCAATAAAAGCAGTTATAAAATTATAATATAACCTAGATTTTAGACTAGTAGGTAGGATGGACGATGACAAGGAAAAGGGGAAAGAGGTCTATTATTATATTTGACTACTTTTTAAAATGGTACATTAGAACTAATTTAAGAAAAAATATGTATAAATAAATGTATATTTTATATTAAAAATATCTATTACATCTAAATATTTAACTTTTTTATTGCAAGTATCAAAAATTGTATTCTATATCAAGTTAGCATCAAGCAAAGTAGTTTTATTAAATATATCTTCATTGTCTATTTTTACAAAATTCCAACAGTCTTCAAAATTTTCTTGGAAAGCTTTTACTACATAATGGTTGGAAGTTAAAACAACATCTTCATAGTTGTTTATAAAACCAGAGTCTGTTAAATTTAGAGATCCTGTGAAAAGAAATCCGCCAGATTCCGCATAATCTTTGATTATATATTTGTAATGCATTATACTAATCATTCCTTGAGATACATATGTTAAAACTTCAATACCTATAAAAATGTCTAAGATCAGATACCAGCTTAAAATTTGTAATTTCATTAATATACCTTCTTTTATCAAATTCCTAATATCCTTCAATTTGTTTTCACAGTGTTCAAAATTTAATAAAACCCTCACTTTAATTCCTCTCTGATGAGCTTTAATTAAAGCTGCATACACAGTATTTACACTTATCAGCATAAAAGCTAAATCTAAAGACTTCTTGGCAGTATCAATAAAATATATAATAGGCTCACGTAGTTTAGCCAAACTATTTTGTTTACTAATATCAATCTTGACTCTTTCTGTATGAGGTGGCCATCCACTCATACCTTTAAATCCACTGTACATCACCACACAATTATGTCTTTTATGAAACAGTAATTCTTCATCATATTTCCTTTTGAAATTTCTGTACGAGTTATATAAATGTTTCCATGTATAATAGGGCACTAGTATTAAGGCTACAGAAGATATCACGGTAAACTTGTTTTCTATTATATTTTTTAAGTACATATTTGAAAATTATTTACTTATTACTTAATTGTTGGCTAGGCACAAAAAATACATTAGAATTTTAGGTTAACTTTAAAAATTCGGTGCAATTGAACTATCGATCATAAACCATAAAACCAGAAAAAAAACGCTAACATAATAGGCATAGAAATTGGTAGTTAACGTATCATTGTAGGTGTTTTTTAATTTAAATATCCTTAGGCCAACCATACATTAACGGAAAAACGAAAATTGAAATACGGGGTTCTACTGGAATTGAAGACCGCAGAACTAAAAAAGGACGTAAATAGGATTTGAGGGACTATAGAAACGAGATGCTTAAAATACTTTTTCCAGGTAAAATTTTAAATAAACAGCACAACACTTAAATATATAGGTACTTATTTAAAAAATAAATAAAATATCCGTGTATCTTGGATAAAATATATTTGAAACATAACATTAATTGGCACCCTATCATGCTATACATACACACATGAAGTTATCAACTGAGGATGTTGCACATCTTTTAAAATATTCTTTGCTTACCCACTCAGATTTGGTAAAAGGTATTCAATGATTTTTGTATATCTTCTAAAAAAACCATCATAAGCATTAAAACGGCATAGAAATCTTAATGACCAGCAATAACATAGAAGAAATAACTTCATTAATACACCAATATTTTCTTGTATCACATTAAATTGCCACCTAATGAGCTCTTTTCATTTACAGATCTCTTGAATTAACTTCTCAACCACTTTATTAGCAGGATGTCAATTCTGTAGTATAATTAAGTCATTATTTGAATAACCATCTGTGAATTAATCGACAGTGTCGATTTGTGTGTGTAAACCGAAAATACCTATTAAGTAGCAGAAACAAAATAAAAATATGTATACTGCAAAATTGACGAGACTTATTACCGAAAATACATTACAGATATACATTTTATTTTGTCTAATTTTATCTTAGGGAAGAACTTACGCACCATCTAAAGCAAGTACTTGTGGCCACTTCAAAGTAAGTCGTATTAATGTAATATAGACAAAATAGACCGATGCAACGCGTTATATATATAATAATAAATACTGCATTGTTATGCTACTAACTGAACGTTCTGTGGTTACTACCATTGAGCATATTTTCTGTAAATCTACAAGCCCAGAAACTTACAGCGTTAATTATTTCTAGAAAATAGAAATTTAAAATCAAATAGATATGTTTATGCATGCAAGATGTTAAAGTTGGGATGTTCAAAATTTGTATTATTTTCTGTCTAAGATTTGAAGTTGAAACGGAGACTCCTTCAAAAACCAAATAATTAGCGATTATACAGGCTGATTCAAATATCAGTAGAAAGAATTTAATGTTGTATTTTTGAGATCAAAATAATACTTTTTTTCCTTATAAACGTGGGTTCACAAATGCCTAGTTTTCGATATACAGGGTGTTAGTTTTTTCTTTTGATTTTTTAGGAATAATTTTCAAACAGATTTGAATGTTCGCATAAAACTTGGAGTACGGAGGTTTTAGGATGCTAAATTTAAATATGTTGTTTTCAACGTTGCTTGTAGAGATGCCACCTATAAGAGTATGCACGAATTAAATAGCCCCTAACTTTTTTGTTACCCTTTACACTGACGTTTCGTATTAGTGCGTTCATTCTCCGAACAATTTTAAGCAAAAATGGTCGAAATCCCAGACCAACCGTTTTCGAGATATTGGCCGATGAAGAGTTAAATATGCACCATATTTTCAAATTTTATAACTATTTATGGACAAAAATTCAAAATTTATCTTGGACTCACGTTTATAGGAAAAAGGTCTTATTTTTACCTCAAAAATATGCCTCTAAATTCTTTATACTGAATTTTAAATCATCCTGTATATTTAAAAAATAGTTCACTTTTTTATAAGAAATACTTTTTACTACGAATTATACACAAAAATTATGCAGATAAAGATCGTGCAAGAAATAAGTGCATCGTAAACGGCATGACGAGTTACTCGAGTGTTCATAAAATGTCACGCTTGCTATACTAATGCAAAAAAAATTAAAGGGTTTAAAGAATTTCTGAAATTTTTCCGTAATTTTTAATATACTGTATTTAGGTGAAAAATGGTCGTATCGGGAATTAAAAAAAAGCATTTTGAAGCTCTAAGATTCTAGTTTTTAGATCTTTCAGTCGAATTTTTTTAGGAGCTACGGTGATTATGCAATTCTAAGAAATACTGCGACAAAAAAGTTTTGTAATTTTTTTTTTCGGATTCCACGGACTTGGAAAAATTTTTTCCAGCTCAGCCAATTGGATTTTGTTTTCTTCAATGTCCGGAAGGTTTTCCAAAAAAACAAAAAAAAAATCCAAAAATTTTGAATATTTTTTTTTTGTCAATTTAAACGTTATTTGCGGTAAAAATGAGAAAATTTCAAAAAAATTTCCATTTTTCCAATTTAATCATGATTATGAAGTGTTTAAGCTCAAAAAATGTGACCCTTTAATTTTTTTCAAAAGTTCGACTGTTTGAAACAAAGAAACAGTTTGTTAGATCGAGATCAAACTTCACAGGGTTCTTCTCGATATATCGAACTATAAGTCATTTTGTGAATATTTCTAATTTAGCCATGAATTGTCTAAAAAACCATAAATTACCCTTTTTTTTCGTGTTTTTTAAAATTCGTGTAAGATGAAAAAAATAAAATTTTTTCCGAAAAGTTGCGGCAGCATGTCAGGAAATTTATTAAAGTTTTCAAAACTGCCCTTCAATTCTCTGTACAACCATTTGTCGCCGAGATATCGATGATTGAAGACAAAAGGAACCTTTTCCATTAAAAGTCTGATATTTCGATGAAAAATGGAAATTGAAGCTGAGTACATTAGTTATCTGGTCATTGCAATGGTTTAGTTGGAAAAATTTTTTCCAAATATGTCCTCAGAAAAAAAAATTCGCAAAATTTTTTTGTCGCGCTTTTTAGAATTGCATAAGCATAGCTCCTAAAAAATTTCGACCAAAGGATCTAAAAACTAGATTCTTAGAGCTTCAAAATGCTTTTTTTTAATTCCCGATATGACCACTTTTCACCTAAATACAGTCCGTCAAAAATAACGGAGAAATTTTGGAAATTCTTTTAACCTTTTAATTTTTTGTAATAGTTTATGTTTTTATATAAAATAAATCTATGTTACAAAATTACTCATCATTTTGATTTTACGAAACAGTTAATGCCAAATTATTCCAAATACTGTAAATAGAAGTGAAAAAAACAAAAATAAATGTATGTGGCAAAAATATTGCGACAACACATTTTTACTAAAATTTAATGTCTGAAATGAATCAGCACATTTCTCAAAAACACTAACTGTCAAGTAGTCATCATCAAATTATTAAAAACATTAAAAGCGGGACAAACAATTTTTTGTGAGAATCGTCATGGTGATTTTTTTGGTCGGTTTTGCCTAATTTTGTAGCTGCGTCATTCGTCTACGGAAGCGATTTTCACAGTTTTCAGAAAAGTGTCTATATCTCGTAAACTTTTATTTTAATAAATTTGGATTTACATATTCTGGCTCGTCATTGGTGGGTCATCAACCTTTGCGGGCTTGGCATAGATTTTTGGGACACCCTGTATATAAAAATCCAAAGCTCGTGTAGTTTCGCAGAAATTCAAGTTCCGTGGATATGGGGGCCTAGTGTAGACAGGTCGAAATCGAAGTATTGCAATTTATTATAACTTTCGTTATAAACGGAAGTAAAAAATTTCCCAAAACATGAGGCTAGAGGAAATCTTTGGATTTGAGAATATATATAGGCAATGCACTGCCTTGAACGTCTAGATCCGCAGTTACTTTTGTTATTCAAGGGCTATTCTGTCCCAGAAAAAAAAATAAAAAAAAAATTAAAAAAAAAAACAAATGTATTCAAACATTTTAAATAAAAGTGGAATAAAGTGCGATATAAATAATTTCAAAATTAAAGCAAACGTCTAAGTACTTAATTGTGCTCCATAATAAAATAAAATAAACTATAATTTCCATCTCCAAGAAAATACCTAACCGGATAGGTAATTTCAATACTTATTAATTGACCCCTGGTAATAACCCGAGAGAACTTCCCAAGCCTTGGATGCCATGAACCCGTTAGGGGGAGTGTCGCCGTTTCTGGCAAGAGCCCTCATACGGGTCCCTGAAATGAAGTCAAAGTCCTCCTTCCTGGACGGATCGAAGAAATCCATCTTTTTGTTCCTCTTGTCGTAAGCCGCCACTCGAAACGGAATAATTTCCAGCGTATCTAATCCAGGCGCCATTTTCAGTACCCTACCCCCGTGGCTGGGATCGTACAAATTCCCGTCGGGTGTCGCCTCTTTCCCTGCAGGGTGAGTGACCCCGGCGGGGTCCCTTCCGACTATGTAAAAGTTGGCACCGGCGTTCATTCTAGCTTTGGCATGCCACTGAACCTCCGTCGGGCCCGCGTATTGCATAGGGCTGGGAAATATGGCCAGGACGGTTGACGATCTGTCTAGGAGACCCTCGTCTAAGACCGCCTGATGCTGACGGATTCTTACTGGGAGCGGGACGTCGTCGTCTTTGATCCAGCCCCCTGCAGGGAAAAAATTTGGTAAAAGTGCAGACATTATTACATTAACGATATACCTAGTGGATGAAGCAACAGTACAGGCTTGCGGTAGCCTCTTTCTTGGAGCTGTTTTTTGGTATCGGTCATCAACAGAGCGTGGCCGTTGTGGATGGGGTTCCTGAGTTGGAAGGCGAATACTGCGTCGGCACCCATTTGCTTAAATCTACTTCTGAGCTCATTTGGAGTTAATCTATATTGGTCGAGGCCGTCATTCCAACGAACACGTTTTAAAACCTCTAGTTCACCTGCAAAAGTATGCTGAATAAAAATAACCGCTGTAACAACCGTTGATTTCATTATTATCAACTTATTAACTTAACTTTTTCGGAAATTCCTTAAATATAAAGGAATGTCTATTATTCGCCTTACCTCCCACGAGCCAGTCATTCGACTCGTAAATAATTTTAATGTAAGGGTGGTCTTTGTTGGTGGTTCCAAACTGCCTTGCAGCTCTCTCTTCTTTCCTGTGGAAATAAAATTCGGGCTTTCTGAGGATGGCGTAGCAGGTGTTGTTGTGGTGAAGGGCGATAGCTGACGTGTCACGTAAACGATCTTTATCCATGCTTGTAAGTGATAGAACGATGGGAATGCTCTGGCTGATGAAAATGCCCTCGTTTATTAAACAGTTGAAATGGAGGCACTGAAGGAGCTGTTCCTCTCGCATGAAGCCCTTTAGGGGGTACGCCCATCCCTCACTCAAAACCTACATTAACAGGTACATATTACACTTCAACGATTTATCTCTAGAGTAAAAATGTCATTTATAATAAAGAGCTTATCTCCAAGAATGTTTGAATTAAAATGGGCAAAGAGAATTTATTTAAAATTTTGACTTCTATAATCTTTCCTATGATCCCATGATCACTGAATTTAGCAATAACAAAAATAATATAATAATAATCATGACAAAATCATTAATTTTGTATAGGTACTTAAGTATATAAAGTTATTTAATGCCTACAATAAAGTTTAATCCCTAATATGATAAAATCAGTATTAAAACTGATAAAATTTTTTATACGTAGGACTCACGATTTAATTTTTCCACATAATTTTTAAAAACTTAATAAAACTCATGTTATCTTGAAAGTTTGGTGACGGAAAAAATATTTTTAATTTTAATCTACATACTTATATTTGTCTTAAATTTAACAAATTACTATCTTTTATTATTTATATTACTTTGAATTATTATTTATTTGAGATGTTAAAGGTAATCATGTGAGTGGAGCATATTTTATAACACATACCGGTTTATTTGCATAATTTTTTAATTTGTAAATGTTCAACTGGTTATAATAATACGAAAAATTAAACTTAAGTTTGTCTAATATTTGATGATTACGTTTATGCAAATTTATTTGAAATTAATCACAAACAAAATTAGTAAAAAAAAATGCTTTTGACCTTTTGATAAACCTTTTCTTGTAATATCGTGATACAATTATCAAATTATGAGTACATTGTATATAAATTATTAGAAACTGAAGGTCAAAAACACAAGAGTTATGATTTATCTAAAAACAAACATTAAAAAATAATCAACAATTTCAATGACATACTTGCAACCACTGCAGATCTAATGTCGTTATATCCAGCCTAGGCAAAGACGCTGCCTCCTCTTCAGCGCCTGCCATTCTATTCTTCGGAACAAATAACTCGGGAATGGTATCAGTACCTTCCTGTACAAAAGGAATGATTCCATTTTCCTGTAGCAGTTCTACAACTTGCATGGTAGACTCATCAATAGTACAATTAACCGTTTTAACAACCAATTCAGGGTGCTCTGGGGTCTCATATGGCTGATCTATACCAGTAAATCCTTTTATAACACCCTTTCTAGCTTTCTGATATAACCCTTTGGTATCTCTTTGTTCACAAACCTCTAACGGAGTATCTACGAATACCTCAAGAAATGGCAAGTCGCTGTCTCTATGAATACGCCTTGCCACGTCTCTATCTTCGGCAAAGGGAGATACAAAACTACAAAGACTCACGTGTCCGGCATCGGCGAAAAGCTTAGCTACTTCAGCTACTCGTCTGATGTTTTCTTCACGATCCTGTTTCGTGAATCCTAAATCTTTATTGAGACCTGTCCTCATGTTATCGCCATCTAAACCATAAGCGGGTATACCATGAGAAACTAAGTAAGCCTCAAGTTCAAAAGCGATAGACGTTTTTCCTGCACCCGACAATCCTGTAAACCACACAGTACAACCTCGAAAGCCTCTAAGGTGGCCTAGGATTTGTCCCCGTTTAGCTCTAGACACATGATGCTTCTGTTCAGTAACATTTGTCGCCACTTGCATACATGTCTTCTGTTTTTTGTATATATCTTGAATAGAAGACATTGCAATGGACTACACTTTTCGCCGAAAAAGTAGGTCAAACTGATTAAATAGTTAAAGTAAACAATTTAACAAACACTGCACTTCATGTATTCTAAGAAAATTGTTTTAATTAGATATTCGAATATAAAATTTTAAATTTACATAAAGATTGGTCAATTGTTGGTCAAAAATGAGGTAAGAGACGAAAATTATTACCGTAAAAAAACTTGTAAATTAGAAATGCAAATATAAATTTTAAAACGAGGAATGTAGAATGTAGTCGACAGACTTTGACTTAAACGCATAGAAAATATACGTTAGTACTATATTTTCTATGCTTAAACGTCAGTGTCAAAACCATGGAGATTCTTCTTCTTCTTCTTCTCAATTGATGGCCTAACATTTATATGTATTACCATGGAGATTCAAAACCACAGATTAGGTAGCGATTGTCGAAACCAGGGAGACTAGACAAGGAGTACGAACTTATACGGGAAAATTGACAAAATTTGTCCAAGAAATGGCAGAAGTTGGGGTGGCGCTAGTGTTCCATGTGACCCAAGTGAATGTAGCATAATAAATACGAGTGAAGTAAGCAAATAACCAATTTTATTTTATAAATGAGTTTAATAGATATATCGGGGAGGTATACAAACCTAAAAACTAGAAGTCAAGTCAATAATTATTATAATTTGTTTTTATAATGGTAAATAAAAAATTTCGAAAATAATTTAACGATACATATGGAACACTAGCGCCCTCTTATTTTTGTAAGATTTTTGTTTACATGGAGTTCGGGCTCCTTATATAGTCTCCATGGTCGAAACTGTCAGATGTCAAATTAAATTCTTTCTGTCACATATCAATGTTTAGTATTTGTAGTGCGTTCAGTAACCTTAATCTGGGTTGTTGTATAAAACGTCATTAATTCATTAAATAGCTAATTCTCAACGATAATGGGTGATAATGAAAATACAATTTGTAATTTTATGATGTATTTAGCAGTTAATAGCTTGTTCTATGTTTATTTTTTTAATTTTCTATAGTGTATAATTATTAATAACAAAAACTAAAGTACTGCTTCTTTTCAAACAGGGCCATTTAATTTTAACATAAGAAAATAACAGAAGCTTTTTTATTATGCCATCTTGTGAAATGGAAAAATGTAATAAAAATAAATAATCTTTTATTTACGTATTCACCGTGTTCAGTGGAATTTAATTTAATGGCGTATTAAACCCGAGAAAAAGTTGAACAACTATTGTTTTTTGTGCCAACTGAGTTACGAGTTTATTTCCGGGTTTAATTCCCATGGCTCCGCAAGTTTCATTTTACATTCTCATATTTTCTTTTAGCAAGATAGGACCCCAGTCGTTATGTAAATGCGCGTCTTCTTTCACGATTTAATTTAAAAACAGGCAGCAGAACGCTAAGTAATAATTTTTGTAACGAATACTAGGCAGGTAAAATGGTACCACGCCTGCTTTGATTTTATAACCTATGAGGTTGGTATACAGGATTGCCCCCTTAACATTTCCACCGGCGTTTCTTTAAGCCAGTTTTACACTAATTAACATTCGCCAATCAAAGATGACGAACACAGTTTTCGAACATTGTTTCAGCAAACTTATTTCTCGATGTGTCCACATCGAAAGTAAATATGAAAACAACTTTTTTGAAACAATAAAAAAAGTGCAAAATAATGTTTCGACAATTTATACTTGAGAATTGCGATATGAAATATAGTATACAATACACAAGCTGTTTTAATTAAAAACATTTTCAACAATATTCAATTGATTGTTCGATACATTTTTTATCGTCAAACAAAAATTCAGTTGCGTCGGTCAATATCTAGGAAAGTACTGCTCCGAAAAATTTGAAAATTTGACAACGTGGCAATGTCCCTGGGGCAAACACAACTAAACTATTTAGAACTCTCCAGCACTTCCGGTTATACCGGATGTCGACACCAACTTCGTTATTTTAAATGGGACACCCTATATATTATTGCATTTTCGTATTCTACGTGAAATTTGAGGGTCACTTTATTAAATATTCCCTATACCTAGGAGTTATAGATTTTGAGATATTAATTTTTAAAGAAAACATTTGACAGATGCAAAGGTCCGCGGAGATGCTAGTAACACTTTTCAGGAGCGTGATATCAAGTGGATTTTCGGTACCTGTAAAGGGCGTAGGTAACACTACATTATGGTATACTAACAAATTAAAACATTTAATACTAGAAGTTTCATTTTTACTGTTACATTTTGATAACTTCAAACAGCTATAATAACTTTGTTAACTTAAGTTGAACACCCTATATTTTTTTACTCTGTCGTAGTATGCAGGTTCAAATTTACTTCCAAGCCATACATATAATCATTGTTATGACTGCCGTTAGTACTTTTAGAGATATTTGCAATTTTCTGTTTTTTGGACAGTTTTTCTCGTATCAGACCTGTTGTCAAATTGGCCATGACCAAAAACACTCCAAAAACAATTGAAATAATGTGACATTTGTCAAGTTAGTTGTCAAAGTATTGTCGTGTCTGAATAGTTTTTCCCGAAAATATAAATAAAAATGTCTGGGGATCGTTTAAATTATAATTATACTAATAAGGATTATTTTAATTTGTTAGCTATTTATGGAAAATGTGTCAAAGTAATTTCAGGAACATGGGAGAGAATCTGCTGCCAATTTGACAACAAGTCTGATACGAGAAAGAAAAACATTTAACAATGTTGTCTGTTTTTAACATATGGCAAAGATACCCAAATAAATAGAGAAAAAAAAAAAGAAAAATCATACAACAATTTTCTTGAAATTCAGATTTTGTAGTTCCTTGCCAGCTCTTAAACATTTTTTTAAATACAGACGATTTAGGATGACGCTAATGTTCCGTACAGTGTGAATAGGTCTTAAGACCCCCCTGCAAAAAATAGAAAACCTCATTTAAAGGAATAGCAAGCAAAATAAAGTGCCAGGCACTGTACTGTAGCAGCAATTTTTTCGCCCAATTAAGTTTGGCCTTAAAACAAATTGAAATGCTCCGTCTGTGTAACATCTACCGTAAAACGATACAATTTTTTCCTAGCGCTTTTATTTGTATGTACATCTCGAAGAAAGAAATATGAAAATTAAAATTTCTTTAATTAGGCAAGATGCTACATTACAAAACCCGTCTAAGCAAATAAAGTCGGTACCGAAAAGAATACCTGTAAAGCCGATGGGCTTGCGCAGTCGCAACTGCGAAAATTCGTACGAAGCTACAGCGAGACTCCACCGCACCGTGCTGTAGGCAGTGTACAACCGTTTTCCCTCTAATACACTCTCGCACGAACCGATCGAGTTTTCCAGCGGAAAACACGTGAACGCGTCGCTCCGGATGGAAAACTAATGGATGTTGGGAAACGAAAAAATGAACTTGGATTGTACTAGTTGCTAAAAACACGTATACCAGCACTGTTGACTGTTTTGCCTACAAACTAAATTTAAGTAAAGCGAATTTGGCGTTTGATGAAACAAGAAATATAAACATACAAGTGTGCTTCGGTGTACGCTTTAAGGGGTTAAAAATTGTGTCGAGACCAAAGTTATGGATTGTGGTTCCTCAAAAATTCAACCCTTCGCCGAAAGTTGTTCTAGGTCGGGGGATCGATAGTACCGCTGCAAGAAGTTGTGCGATATATTAAATTTAAGCGCTCCTCGAAAAGTTTTAAGTGCGTACGGGCCGCAGGCTTTAAATCCCCCCGAAATTGGGCAAAAACGCTTAGGTGTAAGGGAGAAATAAAAACGAAGTGCTCGTTTACGGTTTAATTAGATTAAGCATTATGTAACTCCAAGTGTTAGGCGGGACTAGGGACAAGATGAATAGTGTAATTGTCCTAGCTTTTGTCGCTATTATCGCTTTTTGTGGAGGCCTGACAGCGCCTGCCTGCGTATGTGATAGGAGGGAGTGCGAAATTGTCAACGAAATTGACTGTCCAGGCCTCGGGATCGTGGTTTGGGATCCCTGCAAGTAAGTAGAATGGAGTGTTATAGGTCTATTTTTTGGGGCCGCTCTTAATGGCTCTCATTCGACACACGCGTATGTACAGGGTGTTCACGGAATACTCTCCCACGCTGTGGTGGATTTTGAAATAAAAAATGTCACAATTATTTAAATGTCTCTTAAAATATTCGACGGAGTTTGGTCTAGTGATTTCGGTAACTATGCGCAAAAATTTGCTGAGTTGATAGACAGATCTGTCAGTCAGTGGCGTAGGCAATGGGAAACGTCGTCATTAATAATAGAACTGGTATTTCTAGGAAAGAAGATATCTTTCATTTTATTCGAAAAGTTTAAAATAAGCCTTGACTGCATATACTTGATTAAATTGAAAATAACTTCACTACACTTCAGTAGGTACTATTCATGTACAAAAAAGTAGGATTTTCTGATTTTTTTTTTTATTTCTGATGGTTACATTGTAACTAAAATTGTACTTTCAGCTCCTCTTCTTCGTGAAACAAAGTGCGCTGTGATTTCAAGTCCGCAGAATATAGAAATTTAGAAATATTTTATTATTTCAATTGTAAAATGCTCTTTCTGTAACAAAATATTAATAAAACTAAGAAAAGGTTGTCAGAATAAATAATAAAACATATAGTCGCACAAATAACACATAAAATAATCGCAAATATGAATATTTAATAACAAAGGGCCCTTCTTGGATGTAAGAGTGGGGCAAGTTAATTCCCGCGAGGTGTAGGACATTTTCAAAATTGCAAAAATGTTTAAACATTTAAAAAATTCTTACTTTATCTGAGTTTTTTACTTATATTTTGGAACCTATGCATTTTGGAAGAATATTGAAGAGAAAAAATGTTTTAGAATTGAATTTTGCACAATATAGGTACTGAAAGTTAAAAATATTAAAATTTATTACCGATGTTGCAAAATAGCAAAAATTGATGAAAAAAAGGCAAAATAATCGTTTTTTGGATAATTTTTTAAAAATATTTTAATTGCTCCGAGGGCATTCTAATTTTGGTAAAAAAGCTTTAGAGTATAATAAAACAACACACCAAATTTCATTAAAATCGGTTCTATAGTTTTAGCAAAATAATTTTTTGAAAAAATTTTTGAAAAAAAAGTCAAATTTTCAAAATGTTCCACAGCCTCAAATAAAGCATCTAGATACTTGAAAATTATTTCACATAGAAAAGACCGCCCAATCTTTCAAACAGTTTGTGAAAATTTGAAATCGATTGATTAGGACGACCACAGTAAATTTTTAAAGCTAACTTTCTCTTTTTATTTAAAAAAAATTAGAATACATTTATCAATTTGTAATTAAATTTTTTTCAAAAATTATAATTTTAAAGACGCTTCTTTAAAAAAAAAAGTTAAAGTCCGTTCATTGGTATCTAGATGCTTTATTTGAGGCTGTGCAACATTTTGAAATCTCCAAAATTTTTTTTCAAGTTTTTTCAAAAAATTTATTTGCGAAAACTATCGAATCGATTTTAATGAAATTTAGTGTGTTGTTTTATTATACTCTAAAGTTTTTTTTACTAAAATTAGAATGCCTTCGGGTCAATTAAAATATTTAAAGAAATAATCCAAAACAACATCGGTTATAAATTTAAACATTTTTAACTTACAGTATATTGTGCAAAATTCAACTCTAAAACTTTTTCCCTCTTCAATATTCTTCCAAAATGCATAGGTTCCTAGATATAAGTAAAAAACTCAGATAAAATAGGTATTTTTAAAAATTTTTCAAACATTTTTGCAATTTTGAAAATGTTTCGGACCTCTCCCAGATCTACACTTTTATTATGTTGTCCTGAAGGTAATCCAGAAAAAAATTGTTTGCGCCTTCTCACATCCACCTCAAAACAGATCCGCCCTAGTCTATAAAGTTACTAGAAAAAATCTGAAATCAAAAAAAGTAGTTCTGTAAATCGTTATATCATTAATTTTTCAAATTTACTGATTTATTTTCTTTCTAAACTTAAAAAATGAATTATTTATATAAAAATAATAAACAACTATCTTTTTAAACTTTTCTTAAATATCGATATTTATTATGAATGTCCACTACGAAATATTATTTTTTAAGATGTAGTTTTTAATTTTTCTTCGCCAAAATATAACATTTCAAGAATTTCATTAAAACAAATACGAAATTATCCGCAAAAAAGAATTTCCATTATTTGATAAGACAAGTCAAAGAACCAGAACTGCATTTTATTCAAGTTGATTCAATGTAACTTGAAGGAGCACAATTTTACAGTGGGGAAAATAAACCAGACGTTTGTAAACCAAACTTCTTAGTAAAAGCATTTCTATTATATTCCATTGCTCATATAAAAAAATGAGATTAATGCTAGCCGGCTATAGAAACTGAAACATCCGATAGTGAAAAACTCTTACCTATACTTACGTCCACTTAATATCGATGCCGTATCTCGAATCCTTTTACTGAATGAAATCGCATATTAAGAGATATACGAAACGAATATCTACTTCATAGAACGTATATAAAAAAACTTTATATCATTTGTATAAAGAATTTTGCAAGGTCTAATTTAACGTATCCATCCATTTATCAAAAAATTTGGTTTTGTTGAATCAACATTTGTTATATATCTATATTACGTATTCATGATCGCCGTATTACAGACAACAACTTTTTTTATGTTAATGAAATGAAACGCTCGAAACGTGTAGTAGATTAATAATTTTTTATTTTCTTGAACAGGTAAAGTAAATAATAATATTCTTAATGGGTTTTATTCACATGGTAATTCACCAGTAAATACATTTTTGAATAGGTAATGTCGCTTTTAACGATGATGACCACGCAAAAACCGCTTATGGTATGATATATCTGCAGAATAGAAACATTCGTCGATATTTTTATAATAACTTTGAATATAAATTGAAGCTAAGTATAAGTGCATTTAGAGCACTTTTTTTAATATTGCATACATTTCGTTTTAAATTTAAAATAGATACCCGATGGGGAGAATCTTCTAACCTAAGGGAAGCTTTTAATGAAAATTGCTTGGTTTACATCGCTTAAGCGATGGAGGCAGATTTTACTCCGTTATTTCTGTTTGCAGAAGCTTAATTGAATGGTTACTTCAAATTCTGGATGTTGTTATTGGACTTCCAAACAAATCTCTTATCTAACTAAGTACGTTCACTCACATGAGTTATCTGCCATCAAAGAAAGTTACCTACTAAGTACGTGGTGATCTTTAAAATAAAGAATCTGCAACAATTATAAATATAAATAGAATGAAATTGCTCCCCCTTACACGTTTTCCCCTTTATACAGTCTATTCTACAATGAAATAACAAGCGACGTGAGAGACTTACGATAAAAGCGACGGTGTTCAAGAGAATGAAATAAAAAAAAGGGGAAAGCATAGTTTCGAAAGAAAGCGGGTTTTATAATGGCACCCTTAATAAATGTAAGGCAATACTCCACGATGAGTGGCAGGGTGGAAGTTAGGGGAACGTAAAAAGGGTAATTTACCTGAAATTGTGCCACTATCTCGGTTAATTGTTAGAAATGCTGATACATTTTATAACTTAAACTTTTCAAATGAAATTCATTATACAGTGTGTTCTAAGATTCGTCGTTCACTACATCTCTATTAGTTTGAGAGATACAGTGTGGAATAAAAGGGATATAGTTAAAAATTACAAAGCCTTTCGATGTGTACCCTTGGTGTTTCTGATTTCAGTGTCCATTCCTCTATAAATTCACTTAAAAACAGTACATTTGTTGTAAGTGGGAAACGTTCGTCATCAGTGACAACGATGTACTAGTGATACAGCTTCAAAGCTGAAAAACATAACTATTTCGATGTGTCTAACAATCGTTTTATCCTCTTATTAATAATTACGGAATTCCTACGATTAAAGCAGTCTTGCTTTAACTGATGTTTTACAATAGGGGTTTTTGTAATGCAAAACAAATATGCTTGAAATATAATAGTATAAATACTCAATACTCAAATCAAAATTATGATTAGCCTTAAAAAATATACAAATTTATTCGACAATAAAAAGAAAATATGAATTTTCGTCCCCGTAAGGTGATTTTCATGGGGCCTCTAGATTCTATATTTCCTTTCGGTGTATCTTTAATTAACCATCTTAACTGTCTGTTTCAATTTATAAGTAAATTTTCATGTATTGTTTGCCATCTTATTTTATTTAAAAGTAAATGAAGTGACTACAAACCGCCTGAAAAAATTTAGGAGTGTTGTAAGGGTCGTTACGTTGTCGCATTACCACATAGTCACATTAGATGTTAGGTACTTAAATATTTCTATTGTTTTCATCATCATTTTTTTTTCTAAAAAAAAACACCCTATATCTCAAAAACGAAGCATCTCCTAAATAATTTTAATACTATTGTTTAAACCCAAGGGAAGGGGAGACAAAATGGCTTATTTGACACACATCTATTTTGCCATGAAACTATAAGAGTTAGGAAAAAAATTGAATGTACACTTTTTGTCAATAACAAACTGTTTTATCTAAAAACAGCATCATTTTTTATTTTCAGTAGGGCCGTATTAATTTTTTTAATGATTTAATGAATCCCCATAACTCCGCCACTGGTTGCTTGCGGGACTTTTACTTCTATGGAAAAATGGTATCTTATAAGGAGATGTGTCATACCAAATTTGGCTTAAATAGCCTTCTTCATTTAGAAGTTATTTAAAAAATTCGGATTTTTGTAAAAATTTTTAACGCCCTATATTTCGAAAATGAAGCGTCTCTGGAAAAAAAATTATACTTGATTTTTTTCTTATTTTTTTATGAGGAATATCTCCTTAAAGTTTGTCGACTTAATCCTGAAACACCCTGTATATGTTATTTGCAGTATAAACCAAATTAAAACCGCATTTAAAGCCTGAAGTTTATTTTCTAGGTTTTAATTTATTGTTGTGACACTCCTCCATATTTAATGTCATAGAATTTAACAAACTTGTTACATGCTGTAGTGA